TTTTCATTGTTAAAAAGTCTTCCATTATATCAGCATGACTCTTTACTTGATTATTGATAGACATGGGATTGTTTACAGTTTGGGACCCATGAATAACACTGTATGAGCATGCATCCTTGCATATGTCTATTGGTAAATACCAACAGATGCAAAAGTGAGTGATCACAGGCTTTACATATCTTCAACTTGGAGAGATACTTCACTAGTATAATACAAAAATGTTTTCCAAAACATACCATCTTATATTCCCATTAGTAATATATGAGAGGATTTTTTGTTTTCTTTTGATCCACATCATATTCATTAGCATTTAGAAATATTAGTCACTCTTTCTTCTTTTTCTCTTAGTGTTCTGGTGAAATGTTGTATTAAACTAAGATTAAAATTTACATTTTCTGATTATTACCATAAAATTCAGCACTTTTCAAACATATGCATTAAAGGTCAGTTGGACAGACACTTTAGTAAAATGTTTGTTCAGTTCTTTTGCAAATGTTTCTATTGGGTAGTCTATTATTTTTCTTAGTGAAATAGTTATAGCTTATACAAGGCTTTATTGGTTATATGGGCTTAAAATATCATCCATTCTGTAGCTTGTTTTTTAATCCTCTTACTAGTCTTTTTTAAACAAAAATGCCTAACTTTAATATAGTTCCACTTTTCAATATTTTCCTCTGTAGTTACATACATTTATGTCATTTCAAAAAGCTTTTCCTACACCAAGATCATGAGCATATTTTCATACATTATCTTTTGGAAGCCTCATTGTTTTGTAGTCCATATAGGCTTTGAAAATCCATACTTACAGCCCCCTTGAAATTTATTTTTGTGTCATGTACAAGATAGGAGTCAAATTTCATTTTTTGTTCACTTGGATATCCAACTGATTCAACAGCATTTATTATTTGCTATATTTATATTCCTACTGCTTTGTAATTCCTCCTTTTAAAACAAGTGACTGTTTATGAGTATGAATGCATCTGGGCTGTTTACTATTTTTGTGGAGCCCTTGTATAATTTATAGAATATCAGACTGCATTATGTATGATATTTGCAACAAAATTCTTTACAGATATTCTTTATCAGATCAACCAATTCTCTTTTATTCCTAGGTTGTTAAAGACATAAAGGATGAATAGACATTAAATCTTGTCAACATCTTTTCATCTTTTACAATAATAATATAATCGTTCTTCCTTATTTGTTCCTGTGGTAAATCATATTATTTTTTAACACTGAAACCAAACATGACTTCTAAAATTAATCTAACATGGTCATGAAGCTTTATAATTACATATATACTTTATATTAGAAACATAGTTGTATTGTTGTTGTTCAGTCACTGTCATGTCTGACTCTTTGCAACCTCAGGCACAGCAACACACCAGCCTTCCCTGTCCTTCACTATCTCCCAGAGTTTGCTCAAACTCATATCTATTGAGTTGATGTGTCATCCAACCATCTCATCCTCTGTCACCCTCTTCTCATCCTGCCCTCAATCTTTCCCAGCATCAGGGTCTTTTTCAAGAGTCTGCTCTTTGCATCATGTGGCCAAAGTATTGGAGCTTCAGCTTCAGCATTAGTCCTTCCAATGAATATTCAGGGTTGATTTTCTTTAGGATGGACTGGTTTGATCTCCTTGCAGTCCAAGGGACTCTCAAGAGTCTTCTCCAACACCACAGTTCAAATGCATCAGTTCTTCAGTGTTTAGCTTTCTTTATGGTCCAATTCTCACATCCATACATGACTACTGGAAAAACCATAGCTTTGACTAGACTGACCTTTGTCAGCACAGTGATGCCTCTGCTTTGTAATATACTAGGTTTGCTATAGCTTTTCTTCCAAGGAGCAAGAGTCTTTCAATTTCATGGCTGCAGTCACTGTCCACAGTGATTTTGGAGCCCAAGAAAATAATCAGTTTGCATTTGGTTGTTTTCTCAAACCAGCTAATTAAAAATGTCATTGCCCAGTGAGAAATCATGATTGACAATGCCATCTCTTAAATCTACAGCTGTTAACCAGCGTGTTTCCTTTATTCTAACGTTTGCACTTATCATGGATGAACTGTCATCATTCTGTGATTACCGAGGCAAAATCTTGTGTATTTTGCAATGCCTTCTCTATCCTCTCTGGGATAGTAAGCATCAAGCCCTCAGTAGTGAGTAGACAAGGTCAGCCACCACAGAACTGAGGCTGGGAGCTTAATACCAAGAGCTCACAAAGGTGCATGTCAAGCATTCTTAGGAGGAATAGAGGATCCTGGTGGGAGTGCCCAGAGCAGATCCCTAGAGGAGGCAGAGAGACCTATACTCCAAGGGAACAAAGGAGGATATTATTAAACATCTGTCATGTGCCAGATTCTCCACAGGGGATCGCTGAGAATGCAAAATTCAGTCAGAAGTGCTATGACTTCAAAAAAAAAAAAAAAGATCAGATTCATTTATCTCATGTTCACAGCTCAGCCAATGTGTTCTATCTTCCATTCACTCCACATACTGAAACTAATCTCCCTAATGCCAAATAGAGTATTTACATCTCCGATTCCTAGAAGTTCAAGTCCTAAATCTTCTTACCATCTTTCTCTCTCTTGAGTAATTATGATAAGCAAAATACCATCTTCTTTCTGATGTTTTTCTGTTCTTTATCAGTCTCCACTCTCAGGTCTTTGCCCTGCCTGCCCCTTAGATATGTTGGTCTCCTGAGATTATTTCTGAGTCTCTTACATTCTTTCTCCATGTCCTGCTTGTAATTCCAATCTTGCCCATGGAACCAGCTATCAAGCCAATGCGAACTTCTCAAAGATCCCCATTTTGAAACCCTTCACCTCCGCTTTACTGTTTCTGGCATATCCTCAATGTCTTTCATGATTTTCTTGATTGACTCTGTAGTTAATCCTGTGAAGTCATGTACAACATCTGGACAGTTTTCTCCATCAAAAATTCATTGTTTCAGGCTTCATGGCTTTTTCTATAACAATGATGGCATCTTCAATGGTATAATCCTTCCAGACTTTTATGATGTTCCCCCTACCAGGGTTCTCTTTATATAGTTGACAATCCTTCCCATAGAGTACTGTGTATAATGAGCCTGAAAGGTATCTTATGACCCCCTTTATCTGAAGGTTGAATTAGAGACATTGTGTTTGGGGGCAATTAGAACACCTTGACATCTTTGGTGTTGAACTCGTGAGGCTCTGGGTGAGCAGGGACAGTGCTCAGGAGCAGTAGAACTATAAAGACAATCACTTACTGACAAGATACCTCCTGACATCAGAGACCAAGTATCCATGGAACCAATCTAGAAAAAGGATTCTCATTGTCCAGGCCATCTTGTGGTAAACCAAAAGACTGGCAGCTTGTGTATATCTTTTCCCTTCAAGGCTTGAGGGTTAGCAGGTTTATAGATGAAGCTAGTCTTGATTACAAATCTGACAACATTTGCACAAAACAACAGTTAGTTTATCCCTTCCTGCCTTAAATCTTGGTGCATGCTTCTTTTCCTTCCTGATAAACAACCTTTGTTGCATTTATCTTTTCCAGAATAGGGCACATTTGTCTGCATTAAAAACCTGTGCAGGCAGATATCCTTTCTCCTCAGTAATTTTCTTAAAGGTATCTGGGAACTTGTCTCCTGCCTCTTGGTTGGCAGAAGCTGTTTCTCCTGTAATCTTGACATTTTTTTAAGTTAAACCTCTTCAACAATTATCGAACCATTCTTTGCTGGCATTAAATTCTCTAGCTTTAGATCCTTTACCTTCTTGCTATAAGTTGTTAAATGATGACTCTGCTTTTTCTTGAATCGTATAGATTCTACAGGTGTGCATTTATTACAGAAATCTTGCACCCACATGAAAGCTGCATTTTCAATGATATAGAAATGTATTTCATGAAAAGTGCAAGGTATAGCTGCCTGCAGTCATGATGTCACAGATTTCCTTTTCTCTTTTTACAATGGTCCTTTTGTTGGATTCATTTATCTTGAAATGATGGGCAACTACAGCTACAGATGTCAATCTATGGTACACATTAAGCAATTCAACTTTTTCTTTTAATGTCATGACTTTTCTCTGCTTCTTGGGAGCATTTCTAGCATCACTAGTGGCTCTTCATATGGTTCCCCTGGTATTATTCAAGGCTTATGGTATTGCACTAAGCACGATGAAAAATATACACGATAAAAAAAAGAACAGCAAGAGATCACTTTTTATTATGACACAAAATTTACTGGAGACACAAACTGCTCACACAAAGATGATTAGCATCACATGATGTTCTAAGTGAAAACTCACAACACTTGAGTTCACTGCAACAGCAACAGGAGGTAGCTATGAAATTATTACAGTAGGACAGTGTTACTATAGGTAAATTTATGCAGTTATGAGTTAATGCCCCATCTTTATATTTGTCTATATATCTCTCAACTGGAAATGGCACTATGTATGCCATTTGGTCAGTGGTATGGTCAGTGTTTGTGTGCACAAGTTTTGGTAAATTTTAAGTTTTTATAATAGATTTGTGCATATTCCATGGTAGTAAGTGATAAAATGGACTAAAATCTACAGATATCTTATGTACTTAGGACACACACCTTTGTCTTAATTTTTTCAGTAAATTAGGCTACCCGGTTCATCTGCAAGTTTTTTCAATTTTTTGTAAATCTCCAAAAAATACTTCTAAAATATTTATCGAAATAAAAATCCAAATATAAGTGAACCCACACAGTTCAAATCCCTGCTATTCAAAGGTCAACTATACACACACACACACACACACACACACACACATATGAGAATGTGTGTATAAATATATACAGTGAAAGTCACTCAATCATGTCTGACTCTTTGTGACCCCATGGACTTTACAGTCCATGAAATTCTCCAGGCCAGAATACTGGAGTGGGTTGCCATGTCCTCCTCCAGGGGACCTTCCCAACTCAGGGACTGAACCAAGGTCTCCCACATTGCAGGCAGATTCTTTACCAGTTGAGCCACAAGGGAAGCCCTGAAGAAAAATCAGCAAATTTTGGTAACTTTGTCAGGGTTATAGCAGACAACCAACAGTGAGTGGAGCATGGTGAGTATTTCAGCCCAGGTAGATTTATATCCCTCTCTAAAACCACTTCAGATGCTCTAATCAGCACAGATCGACAACACCAGAAAGAAACATGGTGCATGATATGATCAAATGGAGAAGACTGGACACAGTGGGCTATTGTCAGAGAGAGGGGTCATCATAGTGGGATGGAGCTGAGTTTGGAAACGATCACTCTGTAGTGGCTTACATGGACCTTAAAATCAAATGAGAATATTGTGAGTTCAAATGAGAATGTGAATACAGTGCCACTGCCGGTTTATGACATTTAAACAAAGGCGGGAGTTGGCTTGATTAGTAATGACAGTGACAGGACTGCCTTGGCAAGACACAGGACTCTTCCTCTTGAAATGCAAGTGCTTAAGAATGCAAGTGCTTAAGAGAGTGATAGGGAGATAGAAGTGAAAAAGAGAGAAGCTGAAGAATGAACATGGGCTGACAGAGGAGGATCAAAGCAGCAATAACTAATGGAGAGAATTTTAGAAGCAAAGTTAGTTTCATTTAAAGATTAACTCTAGCCTCAGGGTATGCACTGATGGAATGCTACCAAATGATATCAAATTCACAGAAAACATCAAATTAAACGCTTGGGAAGAAAAAGAAACAAAAACAAAGGAAACTATCCTACTGTTTTGAAGGCAACTGGCTTTTTCCTACTATTGAACGTGCAGCTGCCAATCCAAGCAAGTGAAATAGATGCGGTAAAGAAAGAAAGATCTGAACAGGCAGCAGAGAGAATAACAGTAAATAGTACTGGGCAGCCAGAGAAATGAAATATACTTGATGAGCCTTGAACTCGGGAGGTGGTTGGCCTGGGACTTTCCTGCTCTGTGATGGAAGCTACATCCATGACCAGAAGGATTCCTGTCAGCTGAAGTTGTGTTGTAGAGAATGTTATTAGTGCTAAGAAATAGGAAAATCTCCCCAGAGCAACTACTCAGTCTTCAGAAATGGTTCACAAAAAGAACTTCAAACTCTTTCAAGCAGACATTGATCACACCCACTGTGTTCTTTGCAATGATTCCACTACAAAGTTTCAGCGTTCGGTATACACAGAGTCCTGCCAAAAGCCAGCAAAGCTTCCACTGTTTGCCCTGCAGGGAAACGGGAGGACTTAGAGAAAGCCACTGGCCTCAAGGAGCACACTGTCTAGAAGGAAAATGTGGTGACTTATACATGATAAGGCTTCCCAGGTGGCTCAGTGGTAAAGAACCTGCCTGGGAATGCATGAGATATAAGAGATGCTGGTTCGATCCCTGGGTCAGGAAGATCCCCTGGAGAAGGGAATGGCAACCTACTCTAGTATTCTTGCCTGGAGAACCCCATAGACAGAGGTGCCTGGCAGGCTATATATAGTCCATGGGATTGCAAAGAGTCAGACACGACTGAGTGACTAACACTTCACACTTATACAATAAGTGTATAAGAAAAAGTAGAAAGTGATAGGGCCACTGAAGACAAAAGGGAAATTCTACCATTTCTTGGTACATTTCAGGCTGTCTGGAGCTGCCCTTTGCGGACTCATCCTTGAGAGGCTGTCTTCTTTTTGGGGTGTTTTATTTGTCTTCTCTCTAAACTCATTCCTTGCTATCTAGTGGCTTCACGATTTAATCCATATGACCCCAGCATCAGCCAGTCCATGAGCACATCTTATATTAGTGGCTTGGGGCTTACATCCAGGACTGATAATGCAAACATCACCTAGTAGGTCCAGAAGTGTGTTAGCGAGAGATGACAAATTCTACATGAACTTTGTAAATCTTTCTTTAGACAAGGCATGCAAGACTTGTATAAGCCACACCTCAGGACAGGGGCTATAGTATCTTTTTCAGCCTCTTAACCAGATATAAGAATGTCATGCTTACCCTTGTCTCATGANCTTTGTAAATCTTTCTTTAGACAAGGCATGCAAGACTTGTATAAGCCACACCTCAGGACAGGGGCTATAGTATCTTTTTCAGCCTCTTAACCAGATATAAGAATGTCATGCTTACCCTTGTCTCATGAAATGTGCTGGATTGGGACCCCCACCCCACGTGGAGTACATTTGGTTCCCATTTCCCCCAGATGTCATCCTCACTCCAGGCTGCTTCTGCCCGCTTCCAGACGGAGCTCTCAGCAGGCCTGTAACTATAGCTCTGCTCACCACTGAGGGCTGCAGTTACGCTCTGAGTTTCCAAGAGGTTCTGCCTGCTTGTGAGCACTGCTTATCCATCACTGATGTGTTTAAAACACAGGGAGGTTCACAGCGTGAACTTCCAATGCCATTCTGATCCGTCATCTATGTCATCTCATTTAATCTCCATGATATTCTGGGAAGGCCAGGAACACCATAAATCACAGGATAGATTTCATATAACAATTATTAGAATAAAAAATTCACAGGCAGTTGGCTATGCCAAAAGAAATAGGAGTCCACATCTGCATTTTAGCAGAGGAATAAATTAGCCCAAAAAGTTTTAACCAAAACCAAGTCTTGAGTAACAAAATAGAAATGTGACTCCATATCTGTAGGAACCCAGAACCTGCAGACAATATTGCTTTAGTGGTTAAGGAGAGCTGGAGTTCCTTCCAGTGAAGTGAACAAAATTCTTACTAGCCCTTAAAAAACATGAGTAAGGAATGAGACATTTTAGACAAAGGGACCCTATATGTGCAAAGTTTTAGAAATCAGAAATACCAGGTACATTTCCAGAAAGGCCAGTCCTCCATGCTATAGCATTCTTCTGTTCAGTTACCAGTGAGTTTATCCATCTACCCCTTCAATTCCAATAAATTTACAACTTTTATTGAGCATTACTATGTACCAACCACTAGGTACTAAAAATGCAAAGGATGTAAAATCTTGACCTGTCTGAAAGGATCCCACATACTAGTAAGAGAAAAAGATATCTTGACAAAAACATTCATTATTGTCTACACTTTAAAATATAGCCCAATGACCATGCTATATTAGAGGAGTTGATATTTGAGCAGGTTCCTGAAAGATGTATAGAATTGCAAGAGGTGCAGAGGGTAAGGGCTGTGGGCATTCCAGGTTGAGACAATAGCAGATGCAGAGGCCGAAGTATAAAGCACACAACACTACTTTCAGGACTTGCAAGTGGTCCGTTTGGTCAGACCCTCTCCTGCCTTCCTCCCCAGGTGCAAAAACTGACCAGGGATGGAGATGAATGGGAATGGATTGAGTAGTTTGGAACTGTCTCCCTTTCGACTGATGCCCAGCCGAGGCTGCAGCTCAGGAGCCTTTAAAATCAACATGTCAGAAACTGGTGAAGCCCTGGGGCTGAAGGTGCTGCTGCTCTCCAGTCCCAGGCTTGCCTCACCCTAGAGAACTCCCCGAGCTGCATGCCCTGATGCCTGATGCTGAAACAGATACATTCATTTCTCCCACTGCTCATCCCTATCTCTACAGAGCATCCCTGCCTTGTTATCCTCTTCTTAGGTAAGCCAGACCATGCAGATGTACCTTGTAAGGAATTATTTCACATCACCAAGCTGTCAAAACACAGTACTTTTTATCCTTGAGGTTTGCATACAAACAGCATCTCAGCTGACCTGCTTTGCTCCAGGGCCAAAGGTGAGAGAAGAAAGTGCAGGGGCGGAGTGGATGGGGAGCAGGTGGCTGACACATGATGAAAGGAAGGTGGGCGAGGAGTAGAACTGCAGAAGGGTGAGATGGGGTTAGAGTGGTGAGGGCAGTTTCCAAGCTGGATGCCTCTATCTTCTGTTTTTATTAATATGTTTGTTTTCAAATTCTTCCCATTGTCTGACTTCACATCCAGCATAACCTCCCAGGTCTGTGATGATTATTTCTAAATACCTATTGGTTTTCAATACCTATTTTTCTCTCAATCCAATTCAGTGAAGACTTACCCAGGTTCATCCCAAATCCATGAACTAGGCTGAAACTTGCAACTTAAAAGGAAATAGGGCATGAACTCCATTTTCATGGAACTCACAATCTAATGAGGAAAGACACCACACAGAGCACCATATTAATAAAGAATTAAGATGCTGAGGGGATGTAGAAAAATGAGCCTGGAGGACCAGGGCAAGACCTAAAGGAGGCGCTTCCTGCACTGGATATTAAAGATAAGCGGGAAGTATATTTAGTATTAATAGCATTGTCGATAATGATAAATGCTCTCAATAGACCTGCCATGAAATGATTATGGGGAATAACACTGCATCAACGTAAATATAACGACTGCTATAATATGAGGGGAAATTAATGGAACTATCATCAAGTTGGGAGACTAATCCAATTCTCTAAATCTTTAACAGATCAAATAGACAGGAATAAATGGGTTTCAGGGAAACAGAATAATACAATAAATAATGTTTATTTGCCAGATGTGTATATATTGTACTCTACCATATTTTTAAATGACCATAGTTTATTGCAGAAAGAAAAGCATAATATTACTATCTAGACACACACTGACTCTTAATACAGTCTGAAAGCTAAAATTATATTAAAATAAGACATAATTAAAATTAATACCTTATGGGCCTTTATGCATATCAATAAAACAGACAACATTCTGATAAATTTAACTAAGGACTAAAAGAGAAAATATCAATATATCAACACTGGGAATGAGAAAGAGGGCCCAATGACAGACACAACTGACTAATATTTTAAGGAGTTTTATGCATAGGTTTATGAAGGTATTTGTTATTTTATTTTTCAATTATAGATGTGTCTGGTTTGGGAATCTAGATAATTCTGGATTTATAAAATGAGGTAGGCAGCATCTTCTTATTTCCTGTAAGAATCTGTGAAACTGGAATTATTTCTTGCTCGACTATTTGCTAGCGTTCCCCTGGTGAAACCAAGTGGGCCTGGAATCTCTTTGTGTCTCCTGTAAGGAACATAGGGTTGGATCTTGCTTTTTTTTTTTCCAGACTGGAAAGCTGTGACTTATGATTTTGTTCTGCTGGTCTTGCCTTTTTTTCCTCTTTTTGTTTTTTTTGGGAGGGGAGGGTGGGGAGGCATCAGCTTGGGGAGTATTACTTGAATATAAGAAACTCTTTTATTTCCTGAACTTCTTGGAAAGACTTTTGTTATTCTGTTAGTTTGCTGTTTTGTTTACTCCAGGACTTACAAGCTGTATTTTTCACTTTTAACATCTAGTTAGGTTGAATGCATTGTACTACTTCACACCTGAGTGGTCCACTCCTGACACTACAGTGTTCCACTTCACTCTTCACTCTTCCCACTTAGCATCTTTCAAATGGAATATCTAAAGAACAGAATTACTTTATGTATACAATCCCTTTCTGTAGTGTATCTTTCTAAATACATTAGCAATTCTACCTTATGATGTTATTCATTTTATTTTAAAATCCATTAATATTTATAGAAATTATTAGTAGGGGAAAATGAGTAGTCTTTTATGTTTACCTGCTTCTTTTCCACTTCTGTGGCCCTTCTTTACTTCCTAGATATCTGAGTTTCTCTCTGATATCATTTCCATTTTGGCTTCAGGATATTACTTAGAATTTCTTCTATTGTAGGTATACTGGCAACAAATTCAGCTTTTGTTTTCTCTTAAGATTTCTTTATTAAACTCTCACTTTTGAACATAGATTTTAGTTCATATAGCATTCCAGTGGACAGACCCCACTACCATCAGCAGGTCACTCCATTGCACTGTGGTCCTCTGTCTTCCTGATGAGAAGTCAGGAGTCAGTCTCTTCTTTGTTCCCATATATATAACAAAAGCTTTTTTTTTTACTGCATGCTTTCAAGCTTGTATTTTCTTTTCTTTTTTTTTTTTTTTGGTCTCCAACAGTTTGACTACGATATGCAAAGAAGGGGTTTTCTTTGTATTTATCCTGTTTGTTGTTCATTGAGCTTCTTGTGCCTATAATTCAATGTTTTCATCACATTTTGTAACTTTCCAGTGATTATATTTCAATTATTTTTCTGTATTATTATTATTCTAGTAATTAGTATTCTAGAAAACTAATTACTCCTTCTAGAACTCTTATTTATGTGTCAGACTGAATGATATTGATCCATATATCTATATCAGTAGAGTTCACTCTCTCTCTTTTTTCTTTTCAACCTTTCTCCAATCTGCTCTAATTCAATATCTTTTTCATCTCAGTCAATTCCAAGTTCTGTATTTGGTTTTCTTTGGATATATTCCCTAAACCGGAATCCCAGATCATATGGTAGTTCTATTTTTTAATTTTTTGAGGAAACTCCATACTGTTTTATGTTTCCATGTTGGCTGTACCAATTTACATTCCCTCCAAGAGTGTGTAAGTCCCTTTCTCCACTTCTTCACTAGCATTTATTATCTCTTGTCCTTTTGATGGTAGTCATTCTAACAGGTGATACTTCATGGTGGTTTTAATTTTCTTTGCCAGTGGTACTGAGTATCAATCTGGAAATGGAATCCCAAAGTAACTGACAGCAAAACAGAGTTGTGAATGTTAGAAAACAGGAAGTGTACTAATCAAAATGACTTTACAAGAGAATTAAGTGGCCCCTTCTTTTCTTGGAAAGGTAGGTTAGTAGTCAAGATCCTGCTCTCCAAGGTCAACACACCTTGATTAGAATTCTGATTTGCCGTCCACTTGCCCATCACCTCAATAACTCAATCCCTCCACGTCTCAGTACCAATGAGATGTATGACTCACGTAAAGCACTTTGCTCAGGGCCTGCCTAGTGACCAAGTAGAAGCTTAACAAATATGCCCTATTATCTTTTTTTAAAATAATGTTTCTTCAATGAGATGCTATTTTGCCTTTAAGAAGTCTATGAAAAATATTGCAAAAAAAGGAATGAAGCCTGAAGAATCTTAAAATTCAGAATCGGCTATAATCCCATGTGCTGCAACCTCTTACTTCTTGCTTGATCCTCTTTTCATCATGGCTTCACCCTTTCGATGTCACTGAATCCAAGAGATAGCAGTAATGACAGAGGAAACACTGAGGCATGGTGTGGAGAAGGAAATGCAGTCATTGGCGGAGTCCTGATCAGAAACTGGGTCGCTCCTATGCCGCCCCTCTACCACCTGGCCTGTGAGCAAGGGGAGGGTATTGTCCCTACACACCTCCTTATCCTCAGCACCTAGTCTGTAGCTTGAGGGGGTCAATAAATTTAGTTCGGGAGAACAAGTAGAGGATGGTGCATGGGAAGAAGGGGAGGAGGAGGAGCAAGTAGAAATTTCCACAGACCTATTAAGTCACGTTACTAGTGTTATTATATCGAGTTCTTTGCCTTTTCTTCTTCTGCAGCAGTTCTTAAAATAACCTAAACCTATGATCCATGAAACTGAGAAAGAAATCAAATCAGCGGTAATCTGATTTGGCTCTGAGTTCCTTTTCTACTGTCTCTGAGGTGGTTGGGAGCAACTGAGAGACTGTTGTACGTGGGGGAATTAAATGTGCTTTGTCAGATTTTACAGGTATAGCTTTGGGCTAGGCATGGGTTTAAAGCAAGTCTTACAGAAATTTTGGAAAGCATTTAGGCTCAAATTTCTCTCAGTCCTCCAGTTTCAGGGGAACCATACCTCAATGGGCCTGTTTCTTTGTCCCCTCCTCCTTCACCATGCAGACCTCAAGTGACTGAGGAAGGGCCTTTCCATCAGGAGTCAGAGAGCTAGGCAATTACACATGATCTTTGAGTTACCACACAGAAACAGAGTCATCCTGAAATGTTCATGGGCAAAACCAGAGTTCATGGCAGTTGAGATTCTCAAGGTACTTAAAAGAAACCAGTCACAAGGCTTGACTGTGTTAAAAAGGATCCAGCCCTGGGCTCTGTTTCGCTAAGGTCTAAGTGTGAGTGTGTGTGTGTGTGTGTGTGTTTGAGAGTGAATTAGTGTGTAAATCAGGGGGTGGGAAAAGCAACAAGGAGAAAAGGAAGAAGAAGAGGAAAAAGAAGAGGAATATAACACCAAAAGATGCTAAGCCCCTGCCTCCCTTTCTCTTCCGTATTCTACATTATGCACTGTTCTACACCATTACGGTCACTACATGCCTGGTGTTTCTCTCATAAACTGAGACCTGCACTCGGCTGTAATGGAATGAAAACTCTCCCCTTGATAGTCTTACAGCCCCTTGAATAAAACCACTCCAAAACTGCTGGAATAGATCAAGCCCTGTTTAGAACCATTTGTGAGCCAGGAAGAAGGCAGAAATCCAATTAAATGGGTGTTCACTGAAGCTGGAAACAGTTTGGACAAGCAGAAAGTAGGAGAAAGGACGGAGAGCCTAGATGCTGAACTTGAACAAAGTGCACTTGTGGGCGGGAGGTTGCTGGGAGTGGAGAGCAGGTGGGCTACAGCAGAGCTTGATGGAAGGGGCCGCAGGAAGGAGGCAGGTAAAGAAAGGCTGGAGACAGGGAGGCAGAATCAAGGACTGACCTGGGTTCCCAACTTTTTAGAGTTTTTTTTTTTTTTTTCATTTATTTTTATTAGTAAT